GTTCAGGCTGCAGAACAAGCAGGGCAAATCACAGAAAACGCCATATGCTTTGCAACAGCCTTTCTTCTCCAGGCCCCATTGCTATGTGCTGGTGTTTCATCCTCTGCTTGCTCCATCATGGGTTAGTGACTTTCTGAATAAAAAAATGCCCACAAACTTGCTGCTCCAGGGAGTTCCTCAGGGAGGGGATGGTGGAGAAGGCAGATGCTCCCTGGAACCATTGCTGCGGGTGAAGCAGGGCAGCATCTCCTCCAGAGTCCAAAGATCAGGGGTGGACACAGCACAGGGAGGGGAAAGAAAAAAAAAAAAAAGGATAAAAGAAGTGCCACCTGGGCTGGGCTCTTCCATCCCTGCCTGTCAGGGATCCAAGGGCAGAGACCCGTTCCCTGCTGCTGCCTCTGCCCTGCAGGCTGTGCTGGGGGCTGCAGGGAGGGGAGAAAATGGCTCTGCCCTGTCTCCGCTTATTTCTCCTTGAGCAGACCCAGAAACAGACTCACCTACCTGTTTTTTTTTGTGGATCGCTCTGCAGGCACATGATGCTGCAACTGGTATGCAGTTAAACCTGCTGAACAGTGAGAGGTGAGCCCCGGTAGCTGTATATACAGGGGGTATAAACCAGACCAGACTAGACCTACCCAAACAGTGGAGAGAAGCCAAGAAGCTTGCTTTTTCTTTTTTTTTCTTTTTTAATGATGCTGCACCTTGGGGAGGTGAAGGCTGAGCTGGGGCCCCAGGAGCCCCAACGTCCAGCTCTCATCCAGCCCATGAGATGCCCCTAATGCTGAGCCAGCACCTGCAGAGACTGGCCCTGGGCATGGGGGTTTCTTGGTTGAGAAGTGACCTTTGGTGGTGAGGATGCCCAGGTTTCACACGTCCTGCCTTGCAGGACATCCCCGTACTGGCTGCTGGGGCAGCAGTACCAGGGGGACAAGCCCGTCCCTGAGCAATGAGGGTCCCAGGTGGACTCCCCATCCTGAGCTGTCCCCAGGGTCCAGCCCTGCTGCATGGCTCTCACGTGTCCCTGCTTTGCTAGAGCCAGGTTGGGTGACCCAACTGCCGTAGGTGCTGGCGAGGCCGGGCTCGTGGGCAATGCTCTGCTTTCCACCTGCAGGAACCACCACCTGAACACTTTCCCCATTTCACCCCGCAGGTGCTCGGCTTACTGGTGTGGGCTCTCATTGCTGACACAACGTACCATCTCCACGCGGCGTATGGCTGGGTGATGTTTGTGTCCATCTTCTTCTGGATAGTAACAGTCCTTTTCTTCGTGACTTACCTCCTGCAGCTTCAGCTGAGGTTCTACATGATCCCCTGGCCCCTTGTGGTACGTAGCTGAGAGGGAGCAAGAGGGGGTTCCAAGTGGGAAACATCTCAGGGAGGTGCTCCGAGAGCACCAGGGCTTCAGGCTTTCCTGGGCTGATGGAACAAAGTCTTCTGCACTTTGCACAATTACATTGTTTCATTCTGCGCCTCAATTGCTTAGAAAATTTTCAAAACAGGGAGCCCTGTATCAATCCAGAAAGTTACAGCCACTGCGTCACTCCTGCAGTTGTGGTGTCAACCAGAAACTCAGCAGAACCTGGAGTGCATTTAATGAGATGTTAACCTGAGATTTCTTCCCAGCGTGAGGGGCTGGACCCTTTTTGTCTGGTTCTGGGGAAGAGGGAGGAATGTGAAACAGGCTTTTGCTCATCCCTCATCCTAGCACGTACAAGTCTGAGCCCAGACCTCACAACCTCCTCTTTGCCTTCCCCAGCTGATGATCTTCAATGCTGTAGCGACCGTCCTGTACATCACCGCCTTCGTAACATGCGCAGCTGCTGTCCAGCCTACATCCTGGCGGCAGTGGGATTACAACCGGAGAGCTGCAGCATCCGTAAGTAGTGGCGGGCAGGCGAGGGCCACGGGGCTGGCGCGGTTGCTGCGCTCACGCACAGGGTGTGCTCCTCTTCCAGTTCTTTGCTGGTCTCACGATGATCGCTTATGGGGCGAGCACCTTCTTCAGCTTCCGCGCCTGGAAAGGGTTCGGCAGCAATGCGGCCACCAGCCAAGTGACTGACCACACATAAGGAGTGGACAACAAAGCCCAGCCATGGGCCACCCTGGGTGAGCTCATGCCGGGCTCAGTGGCCCAGAGCCTCGTGTGCCACTGGGTCTTATTCTTGGACCAGCCTGCGCTGGCAGCGATGGTCAGAACAGGGTTGCATGGATGCTGCTCTGTGGTCTCCGATGATGCTTCCAGCTGATGTACCCACAGCAGAAACCCACCGGCGGTGTCACCGACAGCCTTACCAGGAGGACACGGACTCACTGGAGGCTGAAGATCCTGCTTGTCCTTGGGGTTGATCCAGATCCTCACCGGAACAGCTCTGCTGAGGGGGCTCAGCCAATTTGGCACACTGCAATACTAAAACTCACTAAACCAAGCCCAGGCTTGTGCATCTGGTCATTCGTAGCTGCAGTGTAAGTAATTGCAATTAACGTGATACATAAACAGCAGCATAGCTGGAGGATGTAGGCTAAGCAAAGGAAAAAGTCTAAACTCTTCCTGTATTGACTTCTAAAAACGTGAAGCAAAAATTTTATGCTTTAAATAAAAATCTTCCTAAATCCAGCACTGTCAATAAAAAATTTGTCTTGTGAGAAGGTGGTACAATACAGCATGGCAGGAATCCGACAGCAGAGATGTCACTGGCGGAGGCAACTGCCCCTTCCCACTGCATACAGGCTTGGGGCCAGGCTGTAAGTCCACAGGGTTCACCTTGCTTTACCTACGTGCACACACACATATATACGTACACACACACACAGCGTGCACCTGAGATTGCAAGAACATGAAAGAGGTGCCAAGGCTTTGATGCGCTCCCTCCTCTAGGCTCAGCACCATACACACCACAGAGGTAATAGGACCACCTATTAACTGGCAAGTCAATTTTGCCCATTAGCTGCAAGCGTCCTTCAAAAATTAAAACTAAGTCTGCAAATGCTCTGGGAACACACACAGGATCAGTGCCACAGGAGAACACAGAACCACGCTGCTCCCCCATGCTGCAGATGACAAATTTGCCTTTTACTTCTTGGGGACAGGGGTTGGTGTTTGTCAGAACTAGAAGCGATGCCCAGCCAGACACAGGAACTTTTCCCTTCACACCCTCCTTGCACAAGCTAATAAAAACAGATGAAAAGGGTTCAATTTATTTCCAGATATTTCTACACAGGAAAGCTGGTGCACAGTGAGCTACACTGCAAAATCTACTGCATGCTCTGCACGGGAAAAGTTTTAACAGCTTGTCTACAGAGGCTCGAGAAATTTAAGTGCATCGATGGAAGGTGTGAATTGAAAAGGACTGGACAAACTGTGTTAGCCCCTGACCAATCTGCCTTGATCTGGTTTTCAGTGAGCTAAATGAAGGGTCAAGTTTTCACAACTATGAATATATACATAAAAATCTGTAAGAAAATTAGCCTCTTCATGCATTGTTATGACAACGTTAAAACTCTTCAAACATCAAGTCAGAATTGCACACAGATAGTCCAATATAGAGAAATTTAATCTCTTTAAAAAGCCCCTCTGCCTGATGGAAAATGCATCAAACCAGGGACAAGTGACAGGAGTATAGCAGAGGGACAAGTTATTCTGGGAACAGCAGCCCACAGAAAACACACAGACAGAAGAAAGTGGCACAGGGCAGAAAGGTATTGCAGGAAACACTGAGATACAATTCCCCATCAGAGTACAAATTCATCCCCAACTGCGCCTTGTTGGCTCTGAAATTACAAGAGACTTTGCTTAAAATACAACAGAACTCCCTTCAGAAAATAATTACCTGAGGTACTCATTTATACTGCCATTAGATTAAGTGATTAATTAAAGCAATTGCAACAGGAAAAGAATGAAAACTTTTTTCAGAAAAAAAAAAAAGACAGGGATATTTTTAGCTTTAGTTACAAATCACTATTTTAGCTCAACCATTGAAAATGAAAATGTCAGCAAGATTCTTTTAAAATTTGATAAAATCTGTTCCTGACATTAAAAAGTCAACAGGTAAGGAGTTAACCGAAGAACTCTAGTTCATACACTGACAGTAGAAAAACAACTAGATTTAAGCCTTACATTTCTCTGATGTTAACCTCAGGGTTCACATGGCAGGACAGCTGTATCTAGTTTGTATTAAAAACACAACCCAATGTTTTCTTTTTTTTTTTTTTTTCTGGGAATAAGCATCTCAGAGCATCATCTCTGCTCACTAACTGCCCACGCATGCCTGAGCACCAGCTTCTGTGCTCACAGGAAAAGCTGCTTTTTATGGCACGGGTGGTAGGAAGACCTGTAAAAACCTATGAATCCTGGTGGGGTGACCCCAGCTGATGGAGCTTCACCAACTCTGCTGCTGTCAGAAGGATCAGGAACACATGTTTCAAACCAAGGCACTGCAACTTAGCATTTTTAGGGACATACTCACATTGCCTTAGCAGGTTACTGTTGCTGAAAAGAGAATCAAAATGAGCTTCGGTGGTGTTCACCAGAATAGAAAGCCTATAAAACTGCTTTTGATCAAAACATACCCAGAAGGATTTCTAACCCCCTTTTTAAAAAAGAAAAAAAACCCAAAGACATTTCTTGCAATTTTGCTCCAGCTTCTGGCTTTCATCATTCAAATCTGACATGCACAAATTTATTGAAGGAGATTTAATAAACTTCTGAAGGAATAGTTTGGTGGTTTGTTTTTTTTTTTTAAAAGGAAGTGTGTGTATCTGGGAAGTGTGCAATTACAAGGGAGATTTCAATGCACTAGAATAATTCCAGACAAAAAAACTGCAGAGCCATGAGTACAACATACTAGAAACTTAATGAGATTAATTACTGCAGCACTCGCAAATTTGGTGTACACAGAGTCAAAATATTAGGACGCTACACTTAGTATTGCTAGCCAGCCTTTAAAAAGCCATTATGGTCTGTCCACAAACCCGTTTAATGTTATCGTATTTTGTAGTGAAAATATGGCTCATTTTTGCCTGCATGGCTAGGTGTCTTACTGGTATTCAAAAACTATTTTAGCTGAAGAACAAAGTCCTAGTACTGTTGAAATCACTGTCAGACATCAATAGGAACAGGATTTCATCTCATTTGTTCTTCTAAGACATTTCTTGTCCACAAACAAAAATTTGTACTGGCCTGGCCATAATTTTCCTTTGTCTAGGCCAGGTTCTCATCAGGTGACAGCCACTGATCAACACCTTCACTGCTGTTGAAGGCCACGTCCCCTGCTGCATCAACCTGCTGTGGGACAAAGTGGAGGGTTCTGCTCACCATCCTGTGTTTCTACCTACTTGTAGGCTTTTGAAGACTTATTCGCATTGCCTGAGCACGTCATTAAGTGGCAGATTAACCTGTCTGAACAGCATAAGAACAGAGGGTCCCTGTAGCTCCACATGCAGTTTAATTCCAACCACCAACAGAGATGTGCCTGGGGTTTTGTGACAGGCTTACGGCTACAACTCCACCAGCAAGCTACTCATCTATTTTTTAACGGATGCTGAAAAATGCATTGCTGCACTAATTACAGTTTAATAGCGAAAACATGCCCTTTAATCAGCATGCTATTTAGAGCAGTAAATGACATGGTGGTAAACATGTCTGTGCCCAACCTACCATCAAGCTTATATTACTAGAACTAATGCAGCTGTGCCACTGCCCAAAAGAAAGAAATTGCATACATAAGCCAGATTTTGGTTTATCGTGGTTATTTTTCCCAATGTTGAATAGCTGGGGCCTGAACAAAAGTGAATCGGAGAACTTTGCACATTAAGGATAAGACTTATAAAAGCTGGAGAGCAGATTTACACACTAACGTATCAATTGTCAGAGCCGCAAGACAGTCTTATGCTAGAACACCTACATATTAAAACATATTCTTCCATTACAAAGCTGTAGCACTTCAGAACATATTAAAGTATTTAAAAAAACCCCAAAACAACAAAACATTGACGGGGAGGAACTCAGAGATTATGTATTCACACCTGTCCTTCCAAGAGCTGGAGGAACATACTCTTCTTACACTGTCTTCTTGATTCGGCAAAGTTCTACATTTTGGGGAGATGGAAAAGGTGCCAACCCAAATAACACACGCACAGGTCTATTTATTGTCCTCTCAGTGTGCTGGGCTTCTCAGCATGCGCAATGGTTAGGCTGGTGTACAAATACTGTGTATTTATTAAAAACAATTACTCTGGTAGAGGTGAAATTGTCATCTTCTGTGGTCACTGAATACCAACCAGAATTCACAAACAGATGCTTTTAGGATCAGGCCTCTGAAGGTATAGTCTGGAGGGTGAATGAGTTTTCATCTTATAAAAGCACCTTGATTCCCATGACCTTTAGTGTTTTAATGTCCAAATGAAAGCAGCAGCACTCATCTGGAGAAGGAGAGTAATGCATAAACTGTTCTAGGAGGAGGATATTGATGATTTGTTTAATGAAGTCACGACTAACCCACTGCTTAAATCCAGACTTCGACCTTCTTTTTCCTAGAAACATGGAAGAAAAAGAAATCAGTGACTCAATGCTGTTTTGGAATAAGCAGTTAAAAAAAATGAAACGGGCAATACATATTCTGTTCGTTGCATCAAATCAATATAAAATTACATGTTACCTGAGCATCTATGATTGAATGTGAACCCAAACTTCAAGAAGAGATTGTGCAGGAATTCCTGGAATAAGGTCGCTGTCACTCTGCGAGCCGTACGTCCAGCTCAGAGCAGAGTCTTGCTTACATCTGGTCAAGAATGCCCAGCCAGCAGGCTCACCCAGTGCTCAATGAACTAGTGAAATCTAGCTTCTGTGGTTTGCCTCTCAGGAGACCCCAAAGGGGCAAACCCCAACTGAAACCATTCCTGGTGCTGAGGCACGGACCGTCTCTTTCTCCTCAACCTGCCCCCATCTTCACAAAACTTAAAGGCACGGGGGGAGGCAGCAGAGGGCGTAACTCTGACAACAACTATGACTCTTTTGCTCTTTTGTCAATTGTGACTGGACAAGACACTGGAGAGCATTTACGTGTATTTCATTTCCCTAGGAAAAAGCTCATCCACAAACCTTAATACTTTTGTTTGTTTGTTTCTCCAGCCTGGACAGAGAGGAGGAGAAATACAAATGGAATAAGCTTAAAAAGCTCATATTAGATTGGCTGGGAAAAAAAAGAAAAACAGAGAAATGTATCATAGAATCACAGAATGGTCAAGGTGGAAAGGGACCTCTGGAGGTCATCTGGCCCAAACCCTCTGCTCAAGCAGGGCCACTCAGGACCACATCCAGATGGCTTTTGAATACCTCCATGGATGGAGACTCCACAACCTCTCTGGGCAACCTGTGCCAGTACTCGGTCATCCACACAGTGGAAAAGTGTTGCCTTATGTTCAGTTGGAAATCAATGTTCAAAGGTGCACAAAGCATGTGTTTCTGAAGAACTGCTCCACATGCCAGCTTCATTCATGTTTTCTAGAAATTATTAAATGTGTATTTTGAGTTTAAATAGCCACTCAGTGAAGTTATTTCCTTTTGAACCTGGTACAGCCTTTGAATAAATGCTGCTACCTACTGTAGTAACATTACCTTTGGTACTCTTAGGTAGAGCTATACAAAGCCAACAGCCATTATGCCAATGAAAATAAACAATGTGACATACTTACAGCTCTGTAATCCAAGAACATTTCTTTGAAAGCCAGAAAGTCAGTAAATGTGAGAAGCATATCAAATATATCGCCTGCTATTTCATCTTTGTGCTGTCTATAGAGAGAAGTTGGGGAATTAGAAAATTATGTGGGAAATAAATTCATTACTTTAAAATGGTATGAAGTCAAAAAGGATACTGGGACAAGCAGAACAATATCAAAATTTAAACAAGGATGTTATTACAGGTCTATCATAAAGCAAAACTTTAGCCAAATATTACCTTGTGCATTTCCAATCCAAGTACATTAATATATTATTTTTATCTAAATCCAAGACATAAGAGTATCACATCAGTCCTTGAAAACCAGACAAAGAAACTGACCTGTAAGTCAACAGAAGTAACACTCAACTAGCATTTATCTGTTTATTTATCTTGAGCACTGAAACATCTAGACAGTCCCTTGGAAAGTGAGAAAGGTTAGGGAGAGGCACAGAATGCTCATACACATCCCTTAAGAACAAGGGACTGTACTGATGATACTTGGTAGAGGACTTTTTATGACAACATTTTGGAAGAAAGATTCTGTGCTCCCACATCAGCATGTTTCAACAAGACTTTCTTAACAGTCAAGTGTTGTTTGGTTTTTGGTTTTTTAATTATTTAATTCGTATCAAAAGGAGCTTTACCTTAAACAGTCTTTTAAGTGTATCATGTACATTCATAGTAACCTCTCAATGTCTTATTTAAAAAAAAATTAGAAATTAAATAGATTCAAATATGTTAAGATATTCAGTTCCAAATTAAACTTGATTTTCTTATTCAAGAGGAAAACCTGTGATCATTCAAAAGTGATCTCTTAATGAAGTTGGTTAAGCTAAAGCGACCAAATGCAAAAGCTTAAAAAACCCCAAACTCTTCTCTGAATGCTTTGTACAAGAATTGCAATAAAGGCATTTCATCACATGACTCTTGAAAAAACTACCAGGCTATTTAAGTGTCCAACACAGAGCCTGAAAGAGATAAATGAGACCTAACCTTTTAAGGGTCTGGCTTCAAAGTGACAGTGATTATGAAAACCTTCCAGTGTTCTCATTCTGATTTGTCTTCCTACCCCTTAAAACGCAATATATTTCAGCATGACAGTTCAGAAATTAAGAGTAGCAGGACATGCTGAAGGCAAGAAAAGTGGTCAGTCATTGCCTGCATGAAAACTTTTTTTTCTTTTTTAAATTAAAGAGGAACCTCTTTCTAAAGGGAGAACAGTCAAACCCAAGCTTTAATCTAGATGAAAAGAATTGAGAGGCACATAAGCTGCCCCTCAACCAAAAGCAAAGCAGGGACTTACTGCAACGACATTGTGAATGCAGTCATATTAAAACCCGGAATCCGATCAAGCAACTTTTCTTCAATGTATTTCTCTACTAAAGAGATCTGAAAAAAAACAAACAAACCACCCCTATAACATCATAACAAATTTCAGGAGCAGACCTCAAAACAGCACATCTTCCTTACATTGACACCTTACTGACACTTTGTATTATCCTCACTGGGCAAACAATTGCAGATTCCTTAGCTGGGCATTGCTAGTTCAATTATTCACACCACCACTGAGGCACAGGGCTGAACATTTTTGCTGGAAATATTGGTGAGAACAAATACCGACTATCTGTATCTAGTAACAAATTACTTTTAACTCCTTTAATGGTATTGACTAGTAGGCTGGTATAGCTTCACAATTATGCTTTGCATGAAGAATGTAATTGAAGTGTCCAATACACAAAATAATACAACTGGAAAAGAACAAACTCTGTTATGCACACGTTAAACACATTATTTACTACAGCAATAGGCTAAATTTCTATTCAAGAGACTTACACAACTTCCTAAACATCTATAGAAATTTTCAGATGAAACAAAGAGAAAGGAACCTAGAGCTCCAGAAAACATCTTTCCTGCTCACAGATCATGACTGTGCTTCAGAAAGAGACAGCAGGCAGCATGTTGGCTCTGCTCCATGTAAACCCAGTATTTTATAAAGGGGGGAATACAGGACCTGACATTGGCCTTAATAAAAATAAAAAAGCAATACATATGAAAAATAATGGAAAGTATCTTACATATTCATTAAAAATAGAAGTATAGATGAGCTTGTTTTCTTCTGAGTCATCAAACTCCTGGTAGTGCTTCTCCATAAAAGTCCTCTGTATTAACTGGAAATCATCATCTGGGCCACAACAAAAATGCATCATACAGTTATGAGTTTAGTCATTCTTTTTGTAACACAAAACCCACATTCACCAGTCCTCTGCTTCCCTGTGACAACCACAGAGGCCTGTACACGTGCAGAGTCAGTCACCAGTACCGCAGCTGCTGCTGAGCCACCATTTCTGACCCATCTGTGAGAAGACAGAGGCTGCTGGCAGAGGGCAGCACTACTTCAGTTAAGGGAGCCAAATCAACAGGACAGCAGCACATCAGTCTGCATTTTGACAGCACTGTGTATCCAGAATGGAATGGGATGAACACATCCACCTAGCAAGGTCTACAATTACTTCTTATAAGTTTCATTTACACTTAGTATTAGCAAAAAAGTCCTCCTGCTTTACATTTTATGAATAAGGTCATTTATTCTGAACCCCTTTCTGTTCAGGCTCTCAGCAAAACATCTGTATTTTTTTTATGAAGTGAATACCTCTTCCCTACAAGAGTTCAAAATAATGTTTTTTTCCTTGAATTAAAAAATATTAGTGAAATTCCCAGATTCACTTGCAATTGCTGAAGATTTTTTTTTCCAGTTGTGGAAGGAAACAAGAATAAAAATGAACATGGTAGGTCACCACCAAATTAAACAGGACAGGTATAAATATAAAGGTTACTTCCACACAGTGTTAAAATACACCAGTCTCAGCTTTCTAAACCCTAACACATTCAAAATTAATTTTGTTAGCATTTCTCTAGAATCAACTACATCACCAGGCAACTGAGGCTGCAGAATCTACATCTCTCTGGGAAGGATGTAATCAAAAGGATTATACACTGTTCTTATGAAGCAGCTGATGGCCAATTAGCATGAATTCTGTCTTGGCATCTTGTAAACTACTTCCTTGCAGATGCTGCCTTCTCAGTTAAAATTATCGTCCTGAGAATTTAGCACCTTTTATTGCCTAAGCTCACACAATGACATTGGTGCCATTCAAAATTCCTGCTATGAATAGGTCCTGCCACGTTACAACTGTATGCATACATGCAGGTTACATACAACAAAATCAGCTCAGAACGAAAGTCTCAAAAGTGGTGAGACATGGTGACAGGCAGGGGCTATTTTAGCTCTGTATATCTGCTAACAGAAGAGCGACTTGCAATATGTTTAGCACCCGTCTTGCTGTCTATAACTACATGCAGAGCTCACCCATTATGATATCCTCCAGATACCCAACAACTGCATCAAACTCTGCATCAGAAGGGGAGGAGCTGAAAGCAAAGAAAGATGGTACTGCAAAAATATACATTTCAACAACAGCAGAAATAAAATTAAAAAGCGTTAACAAAAGCCTAAGCACAAATAAGCCCAGTAATTACAAGATAACTGAATAATTTCCTAGTTCCAACCTACAAAACAATCCATGATACTGATAAGACTGCTCCATGGGGATTCTCATGAGGCCTCTACTCTATTTTCCCCAAATAGGTTCCTATAAATGTTGTTTTACTGGCATTACTGTTAAGGTAATTCCAGTCCTGGTGCAGAAGGATGTAAAGTGTGTAATTAGAACAGCAAATTAAGTATTTTCCAACCCACAAATCCTAGCTGCTACCACAGTCTTTCCTTCTGCTCTCTTCCCTGCATAACTCTATATGGTGATCACAGAACTCTAGACACTCTAGAGAATATTCTGAAATACTTGGTCTTGTGGAACCACTTAAACTCAATGTATACACAAGTATTATATAACTGACGAAACTTAAATATTCTTCTTATGCAAGAAACATCCTTACATGCTACAAATAAATGGCATAATCTCCTAAGGTCATTCTACCACGAGCAAATATTAAACACCATTATGGATCTGAAGTCATCCAGAGAAGAAACTTTTGGTACCAGCATTTCAGGGCTCTGGATCCCTCTGCTAAATTTATTATTGTGCAGCTTATTCAGACACAATAAATAATTCACAGGATGTTCTTGGCCTTGGCATTCACAGCTCATCTTTAGTAGGGGATGAACTCTTCCTATATTTGTCAGCAGATGAAAGGCAGGCTTTTCTCACACATGAGGGAAACAAGCCTCATAGGACATTTGTCTTTAAGAAAAAAATTAGCTTTGATCAGTGAAAGCACCATTTAAATTAAATTAAAATTAAATGTCTCTCTATTCCTCTTTCAAATTTCTCTTTACTAAACAGAGCAGAACACTCTTGCAGACTAAGTTTTAAAAAAAACTCATTATTTTGGTATTGAATAATACTCCACTGAAATTAATCCAACAACAGTTTAACTATAATGAGCCATTGGACTCATTCTGACCAGGAAAAATGAAAAGATATTTGATTTAAAAAGGCATCCAATCATCAAGTGGTGTTCTAGCAACATTTCTGATCTGTTAAGCCTTGGGAGATGAGTAAAGCCAAGGCAAGGGACTGGAAAAGCGTGCTCTTCCACCAGAGGGCACGACACCACCAGGAGAGGAGCTGGCACAGCACAGGCGAAGCATTACATACCCTGAGCATCACACTTAGGACTTCAGGCAACAGGGCTCATCGCTTCCCAAGGATAATTTCCACTCTCTTTTCCCCTCCAAATAAGTGCTACTACTAGTTTTATAGCTTATTTTAACAGCAACAGAAACAAATTTAAAGTATTAATTTAAACACTGGTTTAAGCCTGTAAGGCAAATAATAGAATTTTAACTGTTTCAAAATAACGATTCCATCTCTCTATACAAACACATGTGCATCCACATACCTGAAGAAACACGTGCTCACCAATCTTGTGGTTTAAGCCTCTGTTGCTTCATCATGCCTAGTTGAGGCCAGCATATCTGTGCTGCTGAAGCAGCCCAGGGACCACGCGGCCTTTCAGTCCACAGAGTATCACAAATGAAGCAAATCTATGAACTAGAGCGACAGAGGCACAGGTGCATGTCCCCTTCTGCCACAAGCTTCAGGAGAAGAGTATGCCAGACAAATGTGGAGCGAAGAAGTGTCTTAGCATCTACTAGTGTAAAATTTGGTTGAGGCCACCTGTAAAAGGTCTCACATGTCTAGAAGTAGCACATTCATACACAGAGGAATAGTCTCCTCTTAGAATCCATGATATAAGATAACATGCTATTGAAAAGGAAAGAGAAATTTTTAATTTACAGTGAACACAAAATAAAATAAATTCAGCCTTACAGTGCTTATTTTGATCACTCAGCCAGGGCTATCTAGTGCTACACTCATTGCAGTTATATTTAATTTCAGTTCACCTAAACGGTGAACTGATGTTATTTCTCCTGGAGCTTTGCATGCTGCGCCCCTGTTCTCCTAAGAGGCAGAATCTGCTAATCAGTGTGGTATAAATTGTGTAATTATATTCCTATTATGATATTTTAACCAGTAATTAGCTTACTGAAAATCTGACACAGAATGTAGCATACTCACGTGGCTACACCAAAGTTTTCTTCATCAGAAGTCTCCATTGTTACTGCATAACCAGACTAGAGGAGAGAGACAATCTGCTATATTGCTGCTGTTAGTAGTTACTTCTTCTTGTTGGAAAAACTGCTAAGGAATAACATGTGACTTAGCATTAATACAAATTCAATTGTTAAATTACCATACGCTTCTCAAACAATGAATCAGGAGAAAGTCTTTAATTTTTAGACATAGGAATTTCAAAATCATGTTCTTCCAAGGTTACTGCTACTTCTTTTCTGTAGTAACCCAAATTCTCTAGGAACTTTCTCTGCCTGCTCAGAGAAGAGCTCAAAACTGCACATACCTGTAGCTAGTCTCTGTAAAGGGGGTTCAAGCAACCTTTACGTCTTTTCTCCTGAAGCATCTATGGCTAACTATAATAAAGACACAAGCAGATGAAGGCAGATGAGATGAAGATGCCACCCTGGCCCAGTGCATCCCAGAGAGCTGGCAGGCCAGGCTTTGGATTGTGATCCCATGTATCAGGCCCTCAGCCTGTGGCTGTGAGCAGCTGCTGACCCATCACACAGCACCCCAGGGCCGCTGAAGATGGGCCAGCTGCCTTCTGGGTGGGCGCTGGGGACATCCTAACTCCCGCCACCCTTGCTGGGTGATACCCGACGCCAGCCTTCAGAGCAGCCCCTCGAAGGTGCAGGAGGAGGGATAAGCGCGACCCTCGCCTCCCCCTTCTCAGTCCTGGCTCCTGGGGAGAGCGAAGCTCCCCGTCCCTGTCCCTCCCCAGGGGGACGCAGGCACACGGCCCGCCTCACCTCCTCCTCCTCAGAGGGTCACAAGCTACTGGGCCGTCACCTTCCTTCACCAAAAGGCGCCCAGGCGACCCGCCCTTGTCAGCCCCCCCCTTCTCGAGGGCCACAGGCGTCGGGCCCGTATCACGGCCCCTCGCCCCGCAGAGGGGCCCGCGATCCCGGCCCTGCCCCGCACCTACCGCTGGTCACGGCAGCCAGCACCGCAACCCCATCGCACGCCTCCCTTCCCCTCCGGCCCGGCCGTCTCCTGGGAAACGCTTCCTTCCGCCCCGCCCGCAGCCAATGGGAGAGCTGAGGCAGCCGTGGAGGGCCCGCCCACAGCCCGAAGGCCCAATGAGAGCGGGACGGGCGGGCCGGCGGTGCCTGCCGCCATGGTGGGCCGTCGAGGCTGGCTGGGCGGGTGGCACCGGCGTCCTGGGCCGAGTTTAGCGTCCAGACATCAAAAGGCTGTCCTAGGAGGAAAATAAAAAGAAAACATAGATAACGTCCTTTGTTATGATGCACGCAGGCTCCCCTCGCTGTTATTAAAGTGGGTTTTCCCCTCACAAAGCAGGGCCCTGAGGGCTAGAGGAGGGCACTCTCAGCCAGGCCTCAGGGCCCACAGCCCACCCATAATTTGGGCCATGCTGGCAGAAGGCTGAGCTCGAATGTTTCGCACAAGCGTAGACACCTGCCTGGCACTGGACTTGCCTTTCTGCCTCATGGCTAACTTGTTCAAGTGACAGCTCCCGCTTCCACAGGCTGCCTGCATCCCTCTCCAGCACCAAACTGTTTGTAACCACAGCTCTCACCAGAAGTGAAAGAATTAAAGAACAACAAATAGCCTTCAAGATGTTTTTATTGTTGAATGGACAACTTTGCTACAATTCATTTTGCCTTCTGAGGGCCTGCGGAGCCACCACCTCCCCTCCCCAGCCCTAGAGCCTTTGGGGCATGCAGGGACCAAGGGGGGCACTGCACCAGTCATAGAAGATCAAGCTTTACAAAGACGCCCCCATCGTGGATTTCAGCAGAAAGCCAGTTGAATTGTACAGTCTCTTCCTCTGTGAAATGAACAGGACAGTTCTCTGCAACACAGCTCCCTCCTCCGGCACCGTTGGCTTTCTCTGCCCAGCACCAGCTGCATGGAAGACAGTCTGGGGCAAAATTTTCCAAAGCGTTCATATCTTTTCAACAAAGAATGCAGGCACTTAGTCCCGTGTCCACAAAGGCAGCAAGGCTCTTAGGTCACCTCCATTTCAAGGGGACACCAGATACCTAGAAGCCATTGTGGACCTGGGCCTTAAGAACTTAATCTCATACAGCAGTTGATACGAATCAGGAGTCCTAGGCACTTCTGAAAATTTTACCTCAGTTAATCCTGGCCAGGGAAACCAAAGCCCTGAAGTTACTAGAATCTATTAAGGCAGAGTTCAAAATGGTTCTGTCCCACCTCTTCCCTAAAGTATGGTTTGCATCTTTGTACCTTAGGGATAAAAACCCTATCATTGCATTTGGAAGCATTTAAAACTTCATTTCAAGTGATTCTGAAATACTAAGATCCTTGTGGCAGTGATGGTGTTCACGTTTGCTCACTCAGCACTGAGCAAGAAGGGACTCAGCCCTGACTGGCAACATGGACTACAGCAAAACATCATAAAGGACAGTTAGTGAGGAAATGAGGTCCCCGTGGCACAGATTTGCCAGTCTGACTTTAATCAAAACAGGCATCCAAGGCGGAAGAGAATTCACATTTTAGCAAAAAGACTAACCAGCACTCTGTTTTTGGATTCAGACTATACTTGGAAAAAAGTCAACAAGAAAACAATGGACAGAACTTTTCTAATTCACACATTGTACTCCAGAGGTTCAATGGAGACACTTTTTTTTTTTCTTAATCTCTGGATGAAATTCAGCACCCTTGAGTTAGCAAAGGCAGAAGGTGAAAGGAGTTGCTAGAGAGCTTGATTCTGGGACCCGTGTGCAGAGCTTTCAGCTCCTATTTAGGTCAGCAGGAAGCAAGAGTGCTCAGCAGGAAGAAGCAGCCTCAGCTCTGCTTTGTTAATACTTGATAGTATAATAAAGATAATAAACGATTTTAAAAATAAGAATCATCGCAGCATGAGAATTCACTACAACAGCCTCTGCTGCTGAATCACTGCCAAGAAGTGGGATGGTTTTGGTGTAAGTTGTGTGTGAATTAGTAAAGTTCTACTATATAGCCAGATAATTTAAAAAAGCAACCTGTATAAGTCTTGGAAGAGACCGAGTCATATCCTCAGTTGGTGCAAAATAAGCATAACTCTACCAATTTTTGTGCTACTTCACTGACACCAGCTGTGAACCCTGATTCCTTGTAGAAACCTAGTAAAACAATCAAAAGCTGCCTGCTGAAATGCATCCTTAACATACAAACGTCACAAATGTGTAATTAAACTGGAGCAGAGATTCCCACTGTATGATCCCTACCAAAAATACAAAGTGTGGCCCCAAACCTGCTCAGAGCAGGACTGACACGTGGCAAGCAAGGTGCATTTTTAAAGAGTTACAGAATAAGACTGAACTTGCTATCCAAATAACATTTCTTTTTTTTAAATAAACTGGCCCAAAATTCTCCTCCAATCTAAGATAGCTCAATATTTCCAAAGTGAATATAACTTTCAAAAACAACACTGATTAAAAAAGATGTTTGATGATACCTTAAAAAATACCCAGAATATCAAATTAATTCCAGTCCAGTGTTATAATTAGTTAAGAATACCTCCTGAAAATTATATCCTCACAAAAAAATGTGGGTACTGAAGTTAAAAGCATCAGAAACATTATGTACTTGAAAATACCACCGATCTTTTAACGTTTAAAAACAAATCAGAACATTCTTTGGAATCACCAAGTTATTAAAACATGTGAGTTTCTCTACAGTCTCCACACTGTCTTTTCAAATCAGTCTGTGTACAGATTAAGTCTGTGAGCAGTTTAATATCCACTGTCGGAAAATACAGAGTCTCTGACCAGCAGGAGGCTACATTGAACAGGAAAACATTGGCATTCTCTTTTTAGTACTGACTTCTGCCAAAAATAGACTTTTGAGCACAAGACAGAACAGCCCTGTTTTAGGAGATATTTCTTTTAACTTATTTTCTAAAATGCATTGTACGTGTACTTCCAGTGCAAATTTTTTCAACACTTGCAACAGGTCAGAAGGAAAGGGGGAGGAAGAGAGACACTCTCCTATGGTCTTGCTTGGAGGAACCAATAGCCATAGCACACTGACTACCAGCTTTCCTTACTGTTGAAACCAGTCCCCGTTGCTGGCAACTTGAAATAGCTTATTAAAGATTTCATTTTTTAAGATAAACAGATTACAGTTTAGCATGAAATCTGGCCATGGCTATGGTTCTATGTGCGTAAAGATTGGTTAGAGATGCTTTCCCCTTTCAGTATTGGAGTTCATTAAAAACAAGTCTGTAGTATTTCTCCACATGTGTCATGAAATGTGAGAGATCTGTCTGACTCGGGTTTGTATTTCCTGTCGACACAAAGGGCAGGTCTCCAGTTGCAAGGCACACTCCATGCACAGGTCACTGAAGGAGAAGAAAAATCAGTTGAAGTCTGCATTTACAGTACGAAAAACTAAACAAACAAAAAAAAATCCAAGCACTGAGCAGTTTAGTTAGCCTGCTAGAAACACAGTCAAGGTAAGTCTTTCAGTGCCAGGATTAGGAATTGCAAGTCAGGTGTTGTGGATCCACAGGCTTTGAGAGCAACTCCTGCTACTCAGCATCTTACAGACCTCAGACTACTAGTGCAGTTGGTTAGGATTACATCTGCATGCTTTTGTTAGTCTTAACACTTCTCTGGTCTGGAGAACAGCAGCCCCAGTGCCCTGCGTGAAGCAGTCTCCACTTCTTGTTGAGACACACTGGGCATGTTTCTTCTCTTTCTATCTTTGCAGCATCTAGACAGAAGACCCATAGGAAGACTGCTTCCATGAGTGCTCTAAAACCACTAAGGAACTGGACTTCTAGTACACTGCTTAAATGCAGGAAAGCAATATTATGGTATTACTCATACTGCTGTCCCATTTTTAGCTTTTAGATGAACTTGTGACTTGAGACAATCCCATTTGTTGAACGCTTAATGAGTGTTTGAGTATATAATGAATTTTCTGCTCTCCTCATGAGATCTGGATTTCACAGCACCAGTACTAAACAAGTACTCATCAGTAAAACCTTTGGTATCAGGGAATTAAGACTTGGTAGCCACAGTACTTCCCCAACCCCAAACACACACACCATTAGGGATTAAATCTGCTCAGGGTGAGGGGAAAGGTGGGAATATTATGCTTAACCTCTATCTGTCACATCCTTAAAAGGAGGGGTTATTTCCTTTATGCTGGGGAGTCAATCAAGCAAAGACTGCATCTGGTCTCACCTCAGCTGAATATCAAACACATACATTTTCCTGTTTCTTTGGTTTTGGGTTGTTTGTAAGGTTTTACCTGTGTCCACACGGCCTGAGTTCTGTGTCTGCTACCTCATCACAACAAAGCGTGCAGCAGTTCTCTCTGATACTCACTTGCTTCAGCAAAGCCAGGCGCCTGTGTCTGAAGAGAGAGAGACAAACCCCCCCCCCCCACACACACATTAGTTTGACTCAAAATGATAGATTCATAACTATTCTGAGTATTGCATCAAGACCAATGCAACACTTGCCTGTGCTACTCAACACTACTGCTGATAAACATCGATCATAACTTCCCACAAAAAAGGCTTAACACACCCAGAGATGTTCAGCACAGTCTTCGACTCCCTATTCTGGTCTGTCAGAAAGGGACAAAGAGAGCGTTAGATTACAATTCTTCTAACCCCTACAGCTGAACATTTAAAAAAAAAAATCTTCTTTAGTATCTGTGTACTTTTAAGAGTTAAGGAAAAAAACCAAATAAACCACACAAACCCACATATCAACAAAATTCAGAAACGCTATAATGCTGTAACACAGTTTAAAAGAATAGAAATTGAAAATAAAATCAACAGCCCACTACAGCAATTGCCACAAGGGAGTGTAAATGGATAAAAATCCCCCATTTGATGAAATAAGACATTTCAAGTTTAGAACACATACGCTACATGTAAAAACTCTTCAATGGCAAGGTGACATGTTTAGCCCAGACTATGCCCCATGCTAGATGCATTAAGTTCAGCACAACTCTGCATGAGTTTATGTTAACTCCTGCCATGGATAACTATGGTCCACTTAGGCCCTTGCCTTTTTTTCCCTATCAC